GGCTCCACCTTTCAATTACCATCATAGGATTTCCCACCCTCTTAACAGTCACAGTGGGGGCCGAGTTTCTAACACATAAAACTTGGGGGACACAATTCAAGCTTCAGGGAGTTTTGGGGGGACATAATTCAATCCACCGCACATCTTCTCAGCTCCTATGGGCTGAAAAAGAAGAGCTTTGAAAAGACGTAGGATTTGACGTTCTCTTGTTCGCATGGATTCCTGTGCATCCTAATGAATTCCATTTGTCTGGTCCCTGCCCTTTATAGGTTGCTTTTGGGTAAAGCTGTATTAAATTAAATTAACTAACTCCAAATACTAGAATCTAACTCTTTTCTTTGTGAGAGAAAAGAGTAGGAACTTGGTGAGGTTTATGTAGCTTTAAAAGATCTCATTAAAAACTATAGGGTGACTTGAAAATTAACATGTAAGAAATGCCAAAGTTATGTATTTACGCAAACCTTAATTAAGAAAAGAGATACTCAGGAAATCAGAAAAGCCACAAGGACTTCCGTAAATGATGGATGCCACTTTCCTGCCCCCCGTCGTTGAGGCTGACGTGGCTCCGCTGGGCAAGCCCCTCTGGGATGCCACCCGCCGCCCCTCCCGCCTGGTGCATGCCCCCCACCCCCACACAGTGCCTGCCACAGTCCCCGAGTGCTCTCTGCAGGGTGGGTTTGAGTTTAGGCCTTCGAAGTAGGATGTGTCCGGCTGTTCTGGGCAGAGTCGGGGGTCGGATCAGGGAGAACAAGGGTGTGGAGATGGTGTGCTCTGCTCTGGACACCTGGAGTTTCAGGGGCTGGCGGGACGTCTGGGGGCCCATCTGGCAGGCAGAAAGGGGGACCGTGGCATCTGGAGGGGCAGCTGGACGATGGAGCAGCGTCCCCCACAAGCACCCCGTTAGGAGCCTGGCTGCTTCCCTGCCCCTTAGCAAGGAGCTGGCTTGCAAGGCTGCTCACCAGGGGTTCAGCCTCCTCCTGGGACTCTCAGGGGAGGAGGTCCCACAAGCACCCCGTTAGGAGCCTGGCTGCTTCCCTGCCCCTTAGCAAGGGGCTGGCTTGCAAGGCTGCTCACCAGGGGTTCAGCCTCCTCCTGGGACTCTCAGGGGAGGAGGGGGACAGAGGCCAGAGCCACCATGCGGGGAGGGGGTAACAGCTACCTGGATGCGCCCCTCCCTGAAGGGGCCGGGGGAAGGTGGGTGCCAGAGAGGGCCAATCTGGAAGCTGTTTCTCCATATAACAGATGCTCTCTTAGCTTGTCCCATGTGCCCAGCCCACGCTAAGTACCAGGTGGAGCCAGATGAGTGGCAGGAGTAGGTGGGGGACATTGGGAGCTGAGCTTCATGCAGGCCAAGGTCGGTGGGAGCCAGAACTCTCTTGTCGGCAGCTCCCTTCACCAGCAGGCACACGTGTCATCCTCTGGTGGGGACGCCTGACGAGGTGGGGCCTGGGCACTGTGTCGAGGATGGAGGCCTCAGTGTGCTGGGGGTAAGGTGGGGGGCAGGTCCCTCAGGCACCCCAGATGTGAGCTGGAGAGAGTGGCCATGCAGGGCGGTGCCGGCCCCAGCATCAGACATGGAGTGGCGTCCCCTCAGACTCGAGGGGCGTGGCCTTGTCCCCTCTCATGCCTACTGCCCACTCCCTGCTGTGCTGCTCAGCAGCTTTCCTGGACAGCTGGTCAGATTCCCACCAGGCCAGCTGAGGGTGGCTTTGCCCCCCAGTGTGCTGGGGACATGGGCAGCACCATGCACAGCTTGCCACAGTTTGCCTCAGGCGCTGGCCACAGTCTTTGGGTGGCAGTGCTGTCCTGCCCCCCGGCCCTTGTTCTGAGCTCTTCCAGGACCCCACAGTTGTCACATGTGACCCTGGCGGGGCCCAAGCCATGCAGAAGGTGGGATTGTTCAGGCCACAAGGGCTCATGATGGCCGAGACTCCCCTCTACCGGCGTGGAAGGCAGCCCCAGGGGCCGGTAACCCAGCGCACCAAGTCCCTGCCTGCTCCTGTCACCACTGGGTCCCGGAAGGCGCTGGCACTGTGACCAGACGTGCTATCTCCCAGGGGAGGACGGAGACTTTGCAGCTTCTCTCTGAAAGTGGCCGTGTCTTAGCTAGATTGGCGCTCACTGACCGATGTCCTCGCCGCACTCTGTTCCCAGGTTTGAAGACCTTTCTGTCACATCACTGCTATGAAGGAACCGTGTCTTTCCTCCCTGCACAGCACACGGTGGGATCTCCCAGGGACCGGAAGCCCTGCCGAGCCGGGTGAGTGCAGCTCGCGTGTTTCTTTTGCAGGTGGAGGGAAGGAAAGCAGGGCTTCCGGGTTTTGTCCCTGTCACGGACGTGAGTGCAGGAATATTTTCCAAATGTCTGTAGGAAGCTACTGGATTTAGCACGCCCATGGGACAGCGCAGGTTTGTGTAGGGCTTTGTGATTTGAGAGCATAAACACCGTGCAGATGGCTTCCCACTCTGTCTGTCCCTGTGATCTGCACAGGCCGGGACAGCCGTGTCCCGTGGGAGGGTCAAGTGCTAGGCGCAGTCCCACATCGACCGTTGGAGTCAGGGCTCACATCCACCTTGTCTGCTCCTGTTGGGGGCTCTCTTTGCCCCCTTTGGGGGTCTACTGGACAAAAAAATACATGCAAGAGAGGGTGAAAGACCGAGCACTTCATCGACAGCCATGCACGTGCGGGACACTGTGAGGGGAAGGACCCCTGCCTGGTCACGCTGGCCTGGGTGGAGCGTGTGCTGTCCACAGGAGCCTCCCGTCCCCACCCTCGCTGAGACCCTGCGCATTTCAGCCCCGCGCTCCATGGCAGGAGCTCACCTGCGGCCCGGAGAGCCGGCCAAGGACCCCTTGAGCCCCGTGGAAAGGCGGGGGGCCTGTCAGCAAGGGACCAAGGGGGAGAGCCAGGCAGCTGCCACAGGAGAGGACACAAGAGGAGGGTCCCCACGGGGGAGGGGAGACTGAGAGCCTCGTGGTCTTTCTCATAGATTTGGCCGTTGCACTCTGCAGTGTGTGTGTGTGTGTGTGTGTGTGTGTGTGTGGTACATGAACTAATAAACAGTAACTCCCCACACAATATATTCAATAGTGTGTGTGTGTGTGTGTGTGTGTGTGTGTGTTGTACATGAACTAATAAGCAGTGACCCCCCACACACAGTATATTCAATGATATCTGACCAGTTTAAAATAGAACCTTAAATAAATCTTGAAATTAGTTGTCCCGGGCTGTGTGGCCACATTAGCAACATGGAGCATCCCCCTAACCGTCACCCTAGCTGTTCTCTGTGCTCTGCAGCTGGTCTGAGGACATGGAGACGGTTTCATCCTTTCTGTGTCCTTCAGACTTGGGAGCTTCCTTCCCCCAGGTCCTTTACTTCTTTTTTTTTTTTTTTAAAGATGACCGGTAAGGGGATCTTAACCCTTGACTTGGTGTTGTCAGCACCACGCTCAGCCAGTGAGCTAACCGTCCACCCCTATATGGGATCTGAGCCCGTGGCCTTGGTGTTATCAGCCCCGCACTCTCCCGAGTGAGCCACGGGCCGGCCCTCCTTTCCTTCTTAAAGGGAAGAATTTAAGACCCTAAAATCAGAATACTTAGAGGCAGGTGCTGTCGCAAAACTCAGTTATCGATGAGCCAATTTCTCCCGGGTCAGCACTTGTCCTGTTGACGCACGTGAATGCAGGTAGCCGAGGCCAAACTGCGGTCTAGATTACTAAGTCCTAAGTTAACTGTTCTGAGTTGTTTATTTGCTTGTTATTGACTGCAACAGAAAAACACTGTATTACTTGTTATCTGAAAGTAAATGAACTCTCACGCC